GGCATATCTTGCAAACGGGTTAGATGGTTCTGAGACATTTGAAGCCGACCACCAAGTTGTATTCTTTGTATCATCATCATAAGCTTTTTGCCCTAGACAAGTTAATTCTCCTACAGAAGTATTATACATCATTCCTTTCCTCGCTATGCAAACATAACCTATGATGGAGGTCTTCAATCTCCACTCAGATTTACCTCTAACACTCATATGATAGTCGGCTTGTGTAGATATTAATTGGTCAACTGCCTCAGAACCGGACATTACCTCCTTTGCTTCCCAAGGCCATTGGTCTCCCATGTTAGTACCTCCACACACATAGCAGTTGGTAACATTAAGACTACCGGCAATACTCTCGGCTAAATCAATGAACAAGTTTTTAGCATTATGGGGGATCTTATTATCTATGCTCATCTCTTCATAAAAGGAATGGTATACTTGATGAGTTTGGGAGGTTACCGTATCAGTCTCTATCCCTATAAACAATATTGTCCCAGGGTCTAAACCCGTCCCATATATTTGAAACCCAAATAAATTACCATATTTATCTAAGAACTTGTCAGGGTTATTTATAAGTATATGGATTGGATTGCATTCCATAGACTTACAATATGGATCAGTAGGCAACTTAGTCACAATCATGTCCTTGTCTGCTGTCTGTCCCCAAGTCGCCCACCCCACACAAGACCAATATGGGCAGAAGTTATAATCTCTATTTGGGCATCTTGGACTTACATATTTATTTTTACTACTGGGACAAATATATTTATCGTTAGACCCATACGTCCTCTCCCATCTAAGATCCCCACATACATTCCACGGCTTTCTACCACTTGATATTGCTTTACACGCATCAAATAGCAGAGCACCTGAAGAATATACGGATTTTAATACCGTCTTATTAATTAGGGTCCCCTGAGAATCTCCATTTCTGAGAGTCAACCAAATTGTACGGGGTTGATACTCAGGACTGAAGCACTTAGGTTCTCCTACTCCTAAATGACACACACTATATTCTATATTTAAGTATCTACATCTTGATACATCTCCTTTACACTCATATTGCGAATGCCAAATTAGGGTCTGGGATATATGGTTACCTGTTCTTGTAGTCTTAATGCATACCTCACAGCTAGGAGTGTTGGTACCTCTACCTTCCTGAATATAAAAATACACATAAATAAACATTATTAAAAATACATCTTTCGTCGTCATCCTCAGTCTTCGTCCGTGTGAAGGCACCTCAGCTTCCAGGATGTAAGGACTGCAGGGAATGGAGTTCTGCTCGTCTTCACAGGGGTCCCCTCAAGACTTTCCCTGACTTATACACTCGTTGGTGAGTGGACAGGCTTTATTATGGCCTTCTCACTCACTTACCAAGTCTCTGAAACAATAAAATTTGTAATCTACAAGGTTCCTCGTCACTCCGACTGAGTCGTGCGTTTTAACCGGATCTTGCAGGGATTCTCTGGATTTGCTGTAACTTGCCAGGAATCGGCTGCTGCTGGTTTAACCCTGGAGTGATGTATCCACGGAGCCACTTCGGCTACTTTTATCGCTGTAGGGGTAGACAGAAGAACAACATAAGGACCTCTCCACTTGGGCCCTAACGGCACATTATTCCACTCTTTAATCCACACTTGGTCGCCTGGGTGGTAACTATGAATTGGGGGATAAATATTCACAGGTAATCTATCTTGTACCCATTTCTGTACCTCCTCCATAGTCTTACCCAACTCTACAACCTGCTGCCGGGTAATTCCTTCTCCCAACTGACTCAAATCCCCCCTTAAGTTACCAAGCACGGGAGGTGGTCGCCCGTACATGATTTCAAAAGGAGAGAGGCCCATCCTTCTGGTAGGTGTACTACGGATTCGCAATAGAGCTATGGGCAAGAGAACGTTCCACTTAAGTTGGGTTTCCTGACACATTTTAGCCAACTGATTCTTAATAGTTCTATTCATTCTCTCTACCTTACCAGAACTCTGGGGTCTATATGCCGTATGAAGCCTCCACTTTATACCAAGCATATGAGTCAATTGTTGTAGGCACTGATGAACAAAAGCTGGACCATTGTCCGATCCTATAGAGCAGGGTAGTCCATATCGGGGTATTATTTCTCGTAGCAGGAATCTCACGACTTCTCCTGCTTTCTCTGTACGAGTAGGACATGCTTCTACCCAGCCTGAATAGGTGCACACCACTACCAGCAGGTAGCGATGTCCACCCGATTTAGGCATCACTGTATAGTCAATTTGTAAATCGGACATGGGAAGTCCCCCCATAAACTGGACTCCTGGTGGCTTTACTGGTCCTTGTCTTGCATTATTTTTAGCACACGTTACACATCTACGTACAATGGCCTGAGTCAAGTTGGACAATCTTGGTATGTAGAAATGTTTTCTGAGAGATTCTTCTGTACTGTCTCTCCCAGAATGTGTCCCGTTATGATAGTTTTGGACAATTTCTACCGCTAGTGATGCTGGAATAACTATTCTTCCATCTTCTAACTGATACCATTTGTTCTCCAAATACTTTCCAGGTTCAGTCCTTAACCACTCCTCTTCTTGAGCTGTATAAATTGGAGTCCATTGAGACAGTGGAGTTGGTATAAGAGCAGCTATATGCCCCACATATTCCTGTCTTCCTGATTCAGCAGCACGCTTAGCTGCACTATCTGCCATCCGATTCCCTTTGGTTACATCACCATCTCCTCTCAGATGCGCCCGACAATGTATAATACCGACTTCTTTCGGCTCCCACACTGCTTCCAATAGTTGTAGGATCTCAGCTGCGTATTTGATTTCTTTGCCTTCTGAATTCAATAGTCCTCTTTCTTTATACAAAGCTCCGTGGGCATGAGTGGTTAAAAACGCATACTTGGAGTCCGTGTAGATGTTCACTCTTAAACCTTCAGCCAATTGTAACGCTCGTGTCAGTGCTATCAATTCTGCCTTTTGTGCTGATGTTCCTTTTGCCAGTGGCCGAGCTTCTATCACCTTGTCTATCGTTGTTACTGCATATCCTGCATAGCGGATCCCTTCTTTTACATAACTACTGCCGTCGGTGTAATATTGAACATCAGGGTTCTGGATGGGAAAATCACGAAGATCTGGTCTACTTGAAAATACTTCATCCATTACTTCCAAACAATCATGTTGACTTTCAGTAGGTTGTGGCAAAAGGGTAGCTGGATTTAAGGTATTTACAGTCTCTAAATGCACTCTTGGGTTTTCACACAACATTGCTTGATACTTGGTCATACGGCTGTTACTAAACCAATGATTTCCTTTGTAATCCAACAACGTCTGTACTGCATGTGGAACTCGTACATAAAGTTCTTGACCCAGAGTGAGTTTATCGGCTTCAGCTACTAGCAGGGCGGCTGCAGCTACAGCTCTTAGACAAGGTGGAAGTCCGCTGGCCACTGCATCCAGTTGCTTAGACATGTAGGCAACAGGTCTTTGCCATGATCCCAAGTACTGTGTCAATACTCCCACAGCCATTCTTCTTTGCTCATGTACATACAGGTAGAATGGCCGTGTGTGGTCAGGTAGACCTAATGCTGGGGCACTCATCAAAGCCCTCTTCACATCTTCGAATGCCGTTTGCTGTTCTTGAGTCCATAAGAAGGGGTCGTGCTCTGTACCTTTGATAGCTGCATACAGAGGTTTTGCCAGTATCGCGTAGCTGGGAATCCATATCCTACAGAAGCCTGCTGCCCCCAAGAATTCTCGCACTTGTCTTCTATTCCTGGGTATCGGTATTTGGCACACAGCTTCTTTTCTCTCTGGCCCCATAATTCTTTGACCTTCAGAGATATGGAATCCCAGATATTTGACAGTTGGCAAACACAACTGAGCCTTCCTTCTTGACACCTTGTATCCTGCCTTCCAGAGAATGTGTAGTAGATCGTGCGTTGCTTGCTGACATACTTCCTTTGTAACTGCTGCTATCAACAAGTCATCTACATATTGTAATAATACACACTCTCCTGGGATAGACTCGAAATCTAGTAGATCTTGACTTAGAGCTGAACCAAATAGGGTAGGTGAATTTTTAAACCCCTGGGGCAATCTTGTCCAGGTCATTTGGCGTTTCGAGCCCGTTACAGCATTTTCCCATTGGAAAGCGAAGATACATTGGCTTTCTGCGGCAATTCGGAGGCAAAAGAAGGCATCTTTGAGATCTAAGACTGTAAAGTAAGTAGCCCCGCCCGGAATTAAAGCAAGCAGGTTATATGGATTGGGCACGACTGGATGTATACTAACAACCGCATCATTGACTGCTCTCAAGTCCTGCACAGGTCGATACTCATCTGTACCGGGCTTTTGAACAGGCAGCAATGGGGTGTTCCAGGGGAAGTACAGAATTTTAGGATACCATACCGTATGAACTTATCCAGATAAGATTGGATGTTCTTCTTAGCCTTCTGCGGAATATGATATTGTCTCAGGCTTACTGGATAAACCCCAAGTTTTAGTTTGATTTTAATAGGTGGAATATTGCGGGCCAGTCCTGGTGGGTTGTTCTCTGCCCAAACTCCTGGTATGTTAAATAAGGATTCATCACTCCTCGGGTTTTGGCTAGTCAACACTGTATAAAGTCGCCACTCTTCTTCCTTTGGTACGGACAATGTCATAATACCTGAGGGTCCATTAAACTTTAAGGATGTTGTTCCATTTGGTAGGAACGTAATCTGCGCTTGTAATTTGGATAGCATATCACGTCCCAGCAATTGGACTGGACACTCAGGCATATAAAGGAATTGATGTTTTACTACGTGGCCTCCCAATGTACAGAGTCGACTTTTAAGAACCGGTTTTTCAGCACTTCTTCCAGTTGCTCCTATTACAGTAATAGTTCTTCCAGATGGAGGAGCAACTTGATTAGTCACCACCGAATGTTCAGCACCAGTGTCGATCATAAACGCACTCCTTTTTCCCCCTATTGATACATCTTACGGAGAGATATGAAATATGTCGGTGTCGGGCGGCGGGTTTCCTTGGGTAACGCAACGCCTGGTGGCGTATTACCCTACTTTTGCAGTGAGTTTGCTTGCGGTGGCCTTCTCGGAGGCTTGGGGCAATTTGGATTGGGGAACTGGTGAGTGCCTTCGGGCAGGTGTTGGGGAGTTCTACACTTGGTTGTCGAACCTTAGTTGGTTAAGGTAACGATTCAGTAGTGTTGTTCAAGAACGAATGTGTCTGGTAAAGGAGGTTTGGTAACGCTATATTCCCTGCCGGGGTCAGGGGTACGCCCGGTGTTAAGCGCATCATGCTACTTGGAGCTTTGCCCGGACATCCCGGGTGGCTTACTGGTAAAAGGGGACAGATCGGTGCTGTCACGATTCAATTCCCGCAGGTGTTTGTTCGAAGGGGTTTGACAATGTTGGGTTTGGATCCCAGGCACTTTGGGACCCATTCTTCCCAGGTGATGGCGGTAACAGAGGCACCCCACCTGGTTTTAAGTGAGGACCTAGGGAAACGTTAGGCAGGTGGGAGTCAGTACGGTTTAAGTCCTGTTTCAGGCCAGTCTATTTGGTTTAATGGCTATGGACGTATGGGTTTGTGTTTGGGGCTATGCCTTGTCGCTAATTACTTTCGTTTCAGGTTTGGTGACATGGTTGGTGGGTCATTCTTATATCTAAGGGGCACAGATGGGAGCCGCGTTTCAGTTCAAACGTAACTGGGCTTTCCTTTGAAATTGGTGGAGCAGGAGTTGTTTTGTTTTTCAGGGATTTTGGTGGCAAGACATTAGGGGAGAAATTTTTCCGGGAGGTAACAAGGGGTACTTTCCAGGACATTCTGGATATTGGCATGGTCCCGGAAAAGGAATTGATCAGGTGGAGGCAGAGGGAGGTGGACCAGCTATGGTTGCTGGCCACGGGTTTGGTGGTGCGGTCCGAGATGGTTCCTTGGTTACATTGGAGACATACTACGTACCCGGCCGTGGTAGCTCGATGTCGAGGACGACTTAATAAAAAATTGATGGCGGTATTTATCAGATGTGGGGGCGGTGTAACAGTGAGACACAACGAATTGGGAGGAAAGCTCCCTGGGTACTCCAGGTGGGATGGGGTACATTTTCGGATGTAAGGTGTGATCTGTTTAAATTGGGCCTTCAGGAAGGCATTCAACAGGCCTTATTCCGGTGTGGTGGGGGTCGCTCAGGAGCTTTAGGTGTCAAGTCCTGAGCTGTGGCGGGGAATGGCCTGGTTAAATCGGAGGGTAGATGGAGGAGAAAGTGGGCATCCTGAGGTTTAGTGTGGATTGGGCAGTGTTGCACGTGGTTGGTAGGTTCGAGCCCGTCGGTGGCTCCGAACCTGGGGGTGTGGTGGTGTCTTGGTACACCCTACACTGGAACTGGTGGGTAGCGGTGTCTTGGTACACCCCTACAATGGATATGGTGGGTAGCGGTGTCTTGGTACACCCCTACAATGGACATGGTGGGTAGCGGTGTCTCGGTACACCCCTACAATTTAACCTGGTGGAAATGTGGTCAAATTGGACGGCCAGTTTCTGTGTTAACATGTTATTTATATTGTTATCTATTGTTATTATTGTGGGGTCATTGCTAGGGGTATGTTATGTATATGGGGAGGTTAACATTATTAAGATTTGTTGGCAATGACCCCATTTGTTATTCCTTAATTATTTATTAATAATTTAATAAAGCTGTGGACAAATTATTTCCAACAGTATAACCTGTGTCCGTGTTTTAATGGGGGTTGGGGTAAGGTTAGCGCATATGCCGGCAAATCCGACTGTGCGCCTGTCAAGTAAATCCACCCCATCCTCCTCACACTTTACACCATTCTCCACTTTCTTCACCCTATCTACCCTCGCATTCATAAAATGTAACTGTTCACAACAATGTAATGAAGCCATGTAAAGCGTTATCAGTTTGTAAGCTATGGGCATAAAGATTATACAATTGCGCTTGTATATTCTATTGTTACGAATATCTATCAAAATCAATTTCACTTGAGGGGGGGCTAACCCGTAGTCACGCCCACAAAGTTAAGTAATGAATACCGCCTCTTGCGTGATAGATCTAACAAAAAAAACAGTTGATCAAACCTGATCTAACGAATAGCTACCAAAATCAGTAACATTTTGTCCAAATTTCAGTTGAGGGGGGGCTAGCCCCCCCTAATTATATATGTAATATCTCAGTAATTAGACTAGATCAAACAAAAATTTTGCCTGATCAAACCTGATCAGGTTCTCATGCCCAAAGTCTATTTTTCCACGTTTTATTGCTTTTTTTTTTTTTTTTTTGAGTGCTTAGTCTGTAGTCAAACTTCTATTCATGATCTTTTCATTTTTACCTTCGTCAATCTCTACCTTCTGGCACTCAGATACCAGGATTTCCTGGCTAATCATGGCAGCATATACACATGGGTTAGCTCTTCCCCTACAGCCGATAGGACAGGAAAAACCACCAAGGTTTTAAAAGGAGGCTCCATCCCTAAGGTCCTCAGTCTTTTTCCTGTCCTACATCCCTTAGGACGTGAGCAATTTGCTCACTTTACTTACGGACATGTATGTTGTTTTATTTTCATTACTTTATTTGCTGTTTTACTGTAGTACATTATGCAGTTGTGCTTTAATGCTGTGATGCATTTAAGCTTTGATATCTTTAAACTAGTGCATTATACAGCTGTACCTTATTTTTAAGATTGTGGTACATTATGTGGTTGTGCTTTTGCTAGGAAGCATTTAAGCTGTGTTGCATTTAAAACTGTTTAATTTAAATTTGCATTTAATACTGTTGCATGTAATACCGCAAGTCATTGGAAACTGCAGTGCATTGGAAAACTGATATATTTTAAAAACTGTGTTACACTTTGATATGGATTAATGAGCACCTTTCCTTTGTCACACTACACAGTTGATTGAGTAATGTCAGGATGCTCTATTATAACAGCTGGCCTTTGATCCTGATTTGTATCTTCTTCTTGTTTCGCCCCCTGCCCTGCATATCCTGTGAACACCTTGTTGGGAAGTGTTTGTTTAATCAAGTAACACCTTTTGACCAGCTAATGCCAAATGTGCTTTAAGTTCTTTGAATATGCAATTGACAGGACATGACTGTATTATGTGAAGACAACCCCTTTTTGGATGTGTACAGAATTTCGTTATAAGATCTGTGTTCTCCACATTAAAATTAGGTGTAGTATTCTGCCATACACTTGTGTGAATGAGTACTGCCCTCCAAGCTCGTATTTCTGCTTTGTCCATTCCTTGTCTTCATTCCTGAGAGAAAACATTGCTGTCTGCTGAATTTAAACCACAACACACTTTAAAACTGTTACCTTTTATACCTTGAGGCCTTTAGACTGTGGTGCCTTTAAACTTTGACTTTTTGCACATGGTTGCCTTTTAAACTTCCTTGCAGGCACTTTTGTTATCTGTTTTGCTTCCCCCTCGGTCCCAGTGATTTATTCCCGGTTCCATGGGTGTTTAGGGGCCATGTAGGCTTCAGACAGAGTCCTCTCCCTGGTCTCTAAACGGCAAACACACTCGAAATAGGCCCACATGTGTGCAGTTTGTGCCTTATTCGGCCTAATACAGATGACTTGCATTGTGGGAATACAAGTTGTGGCAGCCATCTTGGATAAGGGCAATTGCCAGAAAGTGCCTAAAATAAAGGGAAATTTACAGTCAACATACACTTATTGGGTAAGTAT